AAAATACCGCACATTTGAAAACAGGTCGTCCAGACCACAAAGTGATTCATTACGAAAAGGTTTTATGCAACGGCGAGCCACATATTCTAGTTCAAAGAGAATCATTCATACTCAGTGCAGTCGAACTTGTAACAATCAACAGTGAACCATTTGCCGTTCTGTGTAAATCTGGATACCGAAATGGCCACAAAATACAGTTGGAACGATTCAAGTCGGCTGGTTGGTTGTTAAATTTATCTGATGACCATGTTTACGTAATTAAGGAAAAGGTGCGCTCAATAGCTGAAGAAATCAAAGAGCTAATCAAATCTGAAACACACAAGAAAATCGTTTCAATCATGGTTGATTCAGCCACACGAAACGGTTGCTCAGTTTTTGGAATAAGCCTCCAATATAAGCTAAATGGTGTAGTCAAAGTGGTTGCAATCGGCATGTATGAACTAAAACAGTCACACACGACAGTTTATTTGGCTGATGTTCTACTGAAACTTTTGGGTGAATATGCAATCACTTTAGAGCAAGTTATAACTATTACCACTGACAATGGCAGCAATATGCTTGCGATGGTAAAGGAGGTGGAAGATATATTGTTTGAATTGCGAAATGATTCCAGCTCTCAGCCACTTGAATGTGTGCAAAGTCAATTTTCAGCCACACAATAAGTCGTGTACACATAGCTTACACATTACAGATTGCTGTGCTCCGGAATGGTGTCCATATACGTTTCTACACCTTAAAAACGCTGTCTACGAGATTTTATGAGTTGTTTTCACTAAATAAAAGATTGATTTTTTTTCTTATTTTTCGGTCAAAAAATTTTTCAGGTCATAAGAATGTCGCTGAACTTCTACTCAGTGAAGGAGCTAATTATGAATTGAAAAATTATTCGAATAATACAGCCCTTCATTTAGCTGCAAAGAATGGTAATGTTGATTATTTGTTCTCACTAAATAGGAACACAGTTTTTTTTTTCATCGATCTGTGTTATTCTTCAGGTCATAAGAATGTCGCTGAACTTCTACTCAGTAAAGGAGCTAATTATGAATTGAAAAATTATTCGAATAATACAGCCCTTCATTTAGCTGCAAAGAATGGTAATGTTGATTATTTGTTCTCACTAAATAGGAAAAGAGTTTTATTATTTTTTTCATCCATCTAAATTATTTTTTAGGTCACAAGAATGTTGCTGAACTTCTCATTAGTAAAGGAGCCAATGTTAATAGTGAAAATGATATGAAAGGGACACCTCTTCATTTGGCTGCTGAGAATGGTAATAGTTGGATACTTGTCTTTACTAAAATGAGATTGATTTGAACGCGTGAGAATAAAAGCCTGACGCTAGCAGGTTTTTCGCAAAAGCGGGATAACAATCAGTTGCACGCAAAAGAGACATTTCAAAAGGTTACACGCAAACGGAACATTTTATTTTGTCGCATTTTGAATTTTAAAGCCGTGATTACAACAACAATATACTTCTCTCTTGCGTGCAACCTTTTGAAATGTCTCTTTTGCGTGCAACTGATTTTTATCCCGCTTTTGCGAAAAACCTGGTAGCGTCAGTCTTTTATTCTCACGCGTTCAATTGATCTTTTTCATGCATCTAAATTATTTTTTAGGTCATAGGAGTGTCGCTGAACTTCTCATCCGTAAAGGAGCCAATACTGTTATTAAAAATAATGCGAATCTTACACCTTTTCGAGTAGCCGTTAACAATGGTAAAGCTGACTAAATAAGATATCGCTTTGATCTTTTCCATTGATCTGTATTATTTTTAGGTCACAATAAGGTCGTCAAACTTTTTATCGGTAAAGGAAACAAAATTAATATTGCAGAGCAATTGGAATAGATTCAATTGCCTACTAACAATGGTAAGTTGCATTTTTTTTTAACAAAATAAGAAATTGGTTTGATCTTTCTGATCGATGTGCATTTTTCAGGTGACGAATAGCTGAATAATCGGATGATTTTTTTCGATTCCCTTTTTCGATTGTAGTGTAGAATTTATTTCAAAACATTTTTTCGTCAATCTATGACCATACCCACCAATATTGTTGCTTTGTTGGACCATCGATTAATATTCCGTCAAAAAACAGCTCAAGTTATTTGTCTTTTTAATTGCTTACAGTATAGGTATTGGTATGCAGTAGATTTTTTTCCATTTTTTTCTACCTTAACGTGCATACGTGCTAAATTTGAACGCGATTTGTTTGAGTCATATGCCGTAGGCAAAATCCAAGAACGAAAATAAATTATACTTATGATAAAAAATAATCTAAATTTCAATCTGGTTTGAACAATGTTGGT